GCGAGAAATTACCTCCTTGGGGGATGGCCACACCGCATTCTCTTCTCCTCCATTCTCCTCTTGGGATCTTGGGCATGCATATGCACCCAGGGGCAGTTTTAAGCCATCGGTTCTAGGACTACAACCGTGGTTGACTACGTGGGAATCCAGTGACGTAACCATTATGCCATCTGCTGGTCCCGGAATTATAATTACTCTTAAATATTAGCATTATGGGCCTGCAGATGGTGTGGTGGTTAAGGTGCTGGATTGTCACATGACCAACCATGGTTAGAGTCCTGAACCTGGCAGCTTGAAAATCACACTGGGTACATGTGCATGTGTGTCCCAAATTCCAAGAGACTGTAGGAGAATGTATTACGATGTGGCCATCACCCTAGAAGGGGGTCAGTGATGACTTCTCACTTAACCTCTGTTTCTCTCTGCATGCACCCTATGGCAAAAAGCTTAAAAACAAAAACAAAAACAAAAAAAAAGAAAAGAAAAGAAAAGAATAATCAATTATCCTGGAACCTTGGCAGTAACTTTTTTCAAGAAATCCTGGGACCAGCAGCTAGTGTAATGGTTATGTCACTGGACTCCCATGTAGTCGACTGTGGTTCGTGTCCCGGATGCAGTGGCTTAAACTCACGCCGGGCGCATGTGCCTGCGTGTCCAAGATCCCGAGAGGAGAATGGAGGAGAAGGGATTGCGGCGTGGCCATCCCCCTGGGGGGTGATTTCTCGTTTTCTATCTCTCTGTCTCTCTCTGTCTTTCTGGTGAACGCATGCGCCCTATAGTAAAAATCACTGTCTCAAAAAAAAAAAAAAAATGAAATCTTAATATTTGCTCTTTTGTGAAAGCAGACATTTCTCTAGAAAAGAATATGTGAGAGGGACTGTAAATACACTGTAAGTTAGTATTTAGTGTTAAACAGAGAATAGGGACTTAGGGAATTAGAATGAGTTCCATTTATACCTATTAGTTGGGAATATATAGATCTATGGATAATCTTTCCCCCAACCTGTCTCCATTTTAAAAATTTTCAGCAGCTTTTCAAAATATGTTCAGAAATCCTCCCAAAGATTGGCTTGTGTATTTTATTGTTGCTACAGCATTGAAAATGCTGAAGGAAAATTATAGGCAGAAAGGAAGCCATAGGGGTTGAACAGCCAGTTAAATACTTAGTAAAGAAGAAGTTCTGGAGACTTCATTAAAGGTCACATTGATGGTGCTTATTGGAAACACCGATTACCTAAAACACATGGGAAGTTTATTTTTACCAGGGCTGTTTCAGACCAGCTAGCCCAGAACGCAATATAAACATGGCAATTATAACAGCTACATATTGTGTATTTTCCTAAGCTACTGTTTCCAGAAAACTTTCTTCCACAGCTGGAAACCTTTATGCTGAAAAGGGGGCAAAAAGTAGAAGGTCTTCAAGGCATTTTCTTGCAGCGTTCCCTCTTATTTCTGCTACATACGATGTAATCAAGCTGGCCTTCTTAGCTTTCCTTGTTCATAAGATTTTCCTCACTCTCTTAGAAAAGAGAATGAGGGTGTTTATGAATTTACTGAGTCACAAATATTGCTTGTGTATCAGCTACATGGTAGATACATGGGAGAGATATAAAAGTACTTACTTCTTGGACTTAAGAGTTTATGATCTGCAAGGAAGACAGATGCTGTAAGTTCTGTAAAGAACTATGTGAAATACTAGAATAATAAATTGAATATATTCAATCTTTATAAAGCATCTACAACATACCAGGCAATACTGCAGAGATTAACAAAATAAATGAGTCTCCTAACTTTATAGAGCTTATATTGATTGACATATGATAAATAAACAACAAGAAAAACCTAATACAATGTCAAGTAATGGTAAGAACCAGAAAAAAAAAAACAAGACCCAAATAAAATGATAAATTGAATTATTTGAATTTCTGATACACATTCCAGTCAAAGGCCAGAGTATAGCAGTAGGTACTGGTGTGTTCAAAAAATAGCAAGAAAGTTACTTTGATAATGATGTATCTATCACTAGTGGTAAGAGGTATCAGGTAATCAGGACTCAAATGATTTCTGGTCTTGAAGGTCACAGTAAATACTTTAAATTTTATTCTGAATTGAGATGTGAAATCTCTAGAATGGTAGTGATGATCTTATTTATTTTTAATGCATACCATTGGTTGTTATATAGAAAATAAATACACTGTACATTAGTAAGAGTGGAAGAAGAGAATCCAATTTTGAGGTAATTGCAGTAGTCCAGGCAAGAGGTGATAGTCACTTGGGCTAGAATGGTAAAAATAGAAGTAGTAAGAAATATTTTTAAGGTAGAGATGGCGGGTTTTACTGCTAGATTAGGTACGGGGTAATAAGAGAAAGAAAGAAGTCAAAGATAATTCCAGTATTTTTGAATTGAGCAAACTGGATGAATGGTGGTACTATTCATTGAAATGGAGAACACTGGGATAATAATAGATTTGGGGAGTGGAAGTAGAATCAAGATTTTCAGTTTTGACACATTAAGCTGAATATATTTAGTTGTCATTTGCATAGAGATGTTATGAACTGGAGGGCAAAATCATAGCTTGAGATAAAAATTAAAATTCAGCAGTGTAAGTATGGTTTTTTTAGAAAAAGAATTATTTTATTTAACCTTATTTATTTTTTAAATTTGACTAGAGAGGGAGAGGGGACGAGAGAAGG